TCTTAAAATAAATTGTTTCCGTTGCATATTATTTTAGAGCAAGTTACTTTTCTTAAATATGAAATACAAAAATAACGAACTAATTAGAATTGATATTATTTTTATCTTAAAATAACGGTACCGAAAATGACGGTCGAAAATAAATTATTTCAAATAGTTGCTTCTTATTTCCAATTCATTTTCATTTTGAAATATGCCCAGGTTTGATAATAACTAATGATATTATATTGAAAAAATTGTTTTTAAAATATTTTGAACCGTGACAAATTCGGTATCCCGATGACGCGACAGCGAAGTGAAAATTGGTCCTCTAGCAAAAACGAGTTCGACACGCCTGGCATAAAATATCATCCTACCGTCACAGAAACCTGAAGAGTAACGAACAAAAAAAAAAAATAGCATGAATTGCGGCGCGTGAAAAGGAAACATCTTGTTAGTTCGTTTTTCCTACCAAAAGAGTGATACATCGATACATCGGTAAAACCGATATGAGTATGTGGAACACGGTTTCTGCACGCGGTGTATCCATCTGCTGGGTTTGATACGTCGAGCCGCAAGTTCATCCAGAATATCCTCTCCATATACGGTGCAAAGGGCGATCTTGAAAAAGAAGACTCGCTCTCTCGAGCACTCCCCAAGATCGAAATTCTCAAGATCGCCGACCCTTTGTCCAAGAGCCGAAGCAGCTCCACCTCGAGACAAAGATTTCTCTCTCTTTCTTCCTTCCACGAATGCTTTCTATCCTTTCCTCTGCATACACTTACATGTACAAACATGTAAGTGCACGTATTTTATTTATTTCTATCTCGATAACCAACATTTCCACAATTTCATACATAATCTAAGGGAAGAATTGCTTTCTTCAGGATCAGAACCTTACAAGTGCAATCCTTGAAGAACAATTGCGCAAAATTTCAAGTAAAAATTCGTGAGATTGTCGAGATTATAGAGCTCGGAGTATAAGTCTGTTTTCGAGTGGTGCGATGGTTTCTTCCTTCTAGAAATTTACTCGAAACTTTGAACGCGTTTTTATTTTTGAAACCGTATTATCGAAACTGGCTGACACGATTTTAGAAAAACTACTGGATCTAATTTCTGGATTCTAATTTGGACTGTGTATTAAAAAATGAACCCTCTATCGTTTACGAATAGTCGAGACGATAAATTGCATACTTTTTCATTTATTGTTAAAAATTCCAGACATTTTTCCTGAAAATTGGAAATTTTTAGTTTGATTGGAAGCTATTTCTACACCAAATACACATCCCGTATTTTAAATTGAGGGGCTTCATTATTTTTTAACCGACTTTGAAAAGGAGGAGGTTACTCAATTCGACATGTATATTTTTTTTTCTTTTTTAGTCGGATCAACTTGACATTTTCTGGGAATATTCTTGAAATATTATAGATCAATAACATACCAACACCGAAAGATGCCAGTTTTTTGAAATTTCTAAGCACCTCTAACCTCTTAATTAATAAGGATTTAACAGGATTGAAATAGGAGTAATTATACAAGTCTGGGCAAAATGTAACACGTGATAATAGCAAGCGATCGAATTATTATTGAAATTAAAAACAGAGCTGCAATTTCGATGAATTCAGATGATCAAATATCAACCGAAATGAAGAGTTATGTTGATGAATAAGTATTACAAAATTAATCAAAAAATAATTGCCCAATCAAGTAATTCTAATCGCACCAAAATGCAACATTCTGCATTATGGACTTTTGAAAAATGGCACGGATCCAAGGAAAATATCAAGTTATTCGCGTAATTACTGGTAGAGAAAACGGCACGATTAATTGGATCGTGAGACCCATGCTTTTATAAGTTAGACAGTGAAAAATTCGATTACCTTTAAAGTGTCTAAGTGGCAGGTAAAAATTAATGAGGCTTGATAAGAGTGAACACCTGATCTATCATTTAATGAACTTAAAAGGGAAGATTAAACCTATTACCATATTCTTTGAATAAACGTATTAATTAGATATTTAATAATAGGAAACTGTAATGCAAATATTTGGCTACGTTTTAACAAACGAACTATTGTGCTACTACTACTAAACTACTAGTACTATTACTACTATTACTACTACTACTGCTGCTACTACTACTGAACTATTGTCCTGTCGCGACATGAAGATTTTTCGCGATTTCCTCCGAAAATAATACAACAACCTTACAATTAACCCTACGAATAATATTCTTCGCATTAATATAGTATTTTGCATTATATTCTTTTGTTCCTCCATCAAGTATTACTTTCAATCTAACTACGAATTATTGTAATATCCGTAGTGACTATAGAATTTTTCGTGATTTTTTCAAAAAAGAGCACGACAACCCTACGATTAACCCTCTAAATAATATTCCTTGCATTAATATGATATTTTGCAAGGTGTAATAGGAAATATTCTTTCGTTTCTCGATTAAGCGTTAGTTTCGAACTAACTACGAATTATTCCAACTGCCATAACGTAGACACCAGACCGATCGGCTGAAGAATTTCTTTCGATTCTCTTAAAAAATAACACGATAACCGTACGATCAACCCTTCTCTGCTTCTAATACAAACCCCTTTAACACTATGTTTACGGAGATTTCTTATCAGATTTCTATTGCTGAAGTAACGCTTTAATAAATGAAGTCATTTTACTAAAATTAATTAAAATGTTCGAACAAATATGAATTTGGTTATATGTTTGTATTTTTATGTGTTGACGAAGAATATAAACGGTTTCTGTGGAAACTTGTAATGGGTCAAAATGACCGTGCTCCGTAAACCTAGCGTTGATACAGAAATTGTTATTTTTGGTCACGAGGAAAAATATCATTCCTTCCGTGTGTAATTACATAAATTACACGAAAAGTTTCATTTAATCGATGACTATATAATCAGTTAAATATTACCGAATACTTGGATAACCATCGGGAGGGTAGTGAAAAATTTCAAGAAACTTAGTCCTTGAATGGTTTCACAGGTTAATACCTATATTGCACGAGTTATAGAAGTTTAAGTTGAGCCATGGTATCGTGTGTAGTTTACAAACACTGTGCGATTAGCAAAGTGTTAATGCAAAGATCTAGCGGTAAGTGAGGTCTAAATCATTAACGTCCGGTAAAGGTTAACATTACCATCTAAACGTCCCTCCTATTACACGTATTATATATATGTACAATGCAAATCATATTCCAAATAATACACTCTCGCCATCTCAATTTCATTCAGAATACGCAGGAAATTAAATAATAAGAGGGTATTTTCAACGATGTCCTACGTTCAAACTGCCTAACGCAAACTACCTAAAACGAACCACTTCCATCTACGTTTTTGCACACATTTTACTTCCCCGAGAGTATTTCATCACCCTTGTCTACGTATCACGGTTAACATAGTGTCATTAACACCAAATTTACGAAGCACGATCATTTTGCCTCATTCCAAATTTAACAAGGTTTTACAAGATCCGTTTACACTTTTTGTCGACCACTGCTGATTTTTATCCATATAAAGAGAAGCAATTATTGAAATTAATTTTTGTCTAACACGGTAAAGTCGCGAACCAGACGAGCGTTTTTTGAACGAGACCGGGCTCAAATTATGGGGGCTGATGGGCATAAAAAAAAATGCTAAACATTATCTGGCCAGCCGTTTTTTTAAAAAAATAGCTTTAAACATTTACAGGTTACTAGATATACGAAAACAATCAAGTTCTTAACAGAAGCTGTTGTAGATGCCAGCGTTAAGCTGAGGGTTTATGTTCTAGAGCTCGTACGTTCTAGACTCGGCAATGGAAAAAAATTTTGTTTGATTTTTTCAAACTGCATTTCTATTTCTTATTACTGTTTTTATTCACTGCGATATAAATAGTATATGAGAATTGTAAAGTATAGGATGTTGACTACAATTTGTAATAACAAGTGTGGCTAAAGCGTTCATTAAAATAAAAATCCATTCTAATTAATTTCAACACCTAAAAAATAATATCCAAAGTTTTCCTTATCCTTCACGTACACGTATCGCGATTAATTGATTTTTGGTATCGTTAGCACAAGAAATATCTACGTTTCACACGGAGTGTACAAAATTACATTAGAGGTTTTGTTTGCTAGTCATTTTATAACCGTGAAATTGTATCGGAAAAAATGCTTGGTGGAAATTAATGAAGTCTACGAGGAAATTTGCATCCATATCTTTCCTGACGTATCTAGTATAGAAATTAATTCTCTGCTTTCATACTTAATTATTCATAACTCTAGTTTAAACAGAAATATTTGCTTGCCATTTTGTTACATTTAAGTACTGGCCAATTCCTCCGAAAATTGACTTTACAACTACGCGTTCTCTCTTGGAATGCGTAACTGAAGGAAGATGAAAAGTTCTATTAGGTTGTCCCAAAAGTTTCTTCCATTTCATTAATAAATAATACATACACAATATTTTATGTCTAATGTTACATTATTAAATTACTGTTACTCCTAATTACTGTTACTATTTAATTACTTAAATTACTCCATTACTGTTATACAATATTAACATCTAAGAAATTAGGTTGTCTATTTATATAAACACTGCCACACAAAATAATTGAGTGCAAGTCACGAAAGAAACTTTTGGGACAACCTAATATTTGTGTTTTTTGTTTTTGTTTGTAAACAAAGAGTAAGTTTACCTTACAGAGTTAATTTCTACACCAAACCGAATTCACGATAGCAACGTGGGAGTGATAAACAAAATGCCCGGTAACTGGAGAAAAGTGGATGAAAACCAATCCGTCGGTAAAGTGTCAAGGTTCAGCGCGGGCTTTTTCTGCCGTTGAATGACGAGCAAAGGCATTAAGAAAGGAAGCGAAACGAACGAACGGATAGAAGGTGGATAATCAAGAGGCTTCGGTTGGGAAAGTAGTCGAGAAAACCGGAGACCGTCGCGGAAAAACGCGAATAACAAGGTGTCGAGATTAAGATCCGGTAAGAAACCGCCGGCAAACGACTTACCTGGTGGACATTTGCACTCGGAAACGTCTCGTTTGATCCGAAAGGCGTTCAACTCCGGTGTGTACCGATGCACCTTGATCTGCTGCTGAACCTCCCTCTTCAGCCTCTGGATAAGGACGTCTGGCATTTCCTGACGCTGACAGCGGGTCTCCAGGCTGGCGATTCTCGACTCCAATCTTAGTTCCCTGTACATCAGTAAACCGGACACGGCCAGGCTGATAACACAGAGGGCGCACATTGCCCAATTGAGCGTTGCACCCTCCGTTCGAGAGGAATCCTTATGAAATTTCCTCAGCATCGACGTCACGAAGGAGCCCTTCCTCGTCGACGGCCAGTCGGTCGCCGTGTCGGACTCCATGTTGTGTGCACCTTCGACACACGCTCGCTTCTATTCGTGCACGGATCGCGTTAAGCGCGCGTCATAACCCACCCGATCGTCGATACGTCCTGACACGACAGTGACGGGTAAGCGCGATACGACAGAGGAACCACGCCAATCTTACTGACCGCGCGGCGTCATCGTCCATCTGGAATGCATCTCGCTCGCCCACTTCCCGTTACTCCTTACCTCGCTTTTCTACGACTCGTTCCACCTTCCTTTTTAAACTCGCGAACACGCGCTCTCCTCTGTGTCCTGTGCTCCTGTACCTTCACCGACCGTTCTATCCCTCCCTCCTCGGCTACCCGACGGATCCTCGTCCTAACAACACTATCGTTGGTAAACAACGAACGTCGTCAACCGTTGAACGGGTACACGAAGTAAAAACCGCGCGCTCCTTTCAAGAAATCACCCGACAATGTCACCGTCGTCCCTTTGCCAGCTCGTTCTCGAGGAAATCTCAACGCGATTTGTACGGGCACAACAAACAGGCGGCCGACGGCAGGCCGTTCTTTCCTTCGGATACCTTCTATTTTCGTCTATCTTGCTCCTCGAACGTCTTGCCCTTCCTGTTGCCGTTTCCACTCCAAAACGAGCATCTCCCTGGTCTGTCGCATCGCGATTTCTCCAGTTCGCGCACTTTCCCACACTCTCCTTTTCGATTCGTGATCAGCGAATGAGCGGAAAACGGTGAAATCCCTCAAACACAATGCTCGGTTTACGAAGCTTTTCCCTTCGTGTCGCACGGTAACGGTGGACGGTCTACGGGGAAAAACGAGCGACAGCTGTGCGACAACTATTGCCGAAACGAGCTGGAACCGCGTTAACCGTCAATGTTTCACCACGGTTCTACGGTGACTCGTTACGCGGGCTTCGCCGAAGGAACATCCGCTGTCGTGACAATGAGGTTCGATTTACTGGTAGAACGAAAAGACCCGAATTACCGCAAATACGAAGCTCCCGGCGTGGCATTCGCAGTACGACTGGATGTGGTGGGGCGACGCTCCGCCGAGAGCCGAGGGTTCGTCGGTTCGGAGACACTCGTGGAGATTCGGCCGTCTTCGTCGCTGCGACTCATCCACCGGCTGCCGGACGCGTGGAGGACGATCGGTCGACCTAACGTCCACTTCCATTCGCACTGATTCGCCCCTGCCTACCCTTGCCCTTTCATTTACCCCTCCATACCGTCTTTTCATCACTCGACCGGATTTCGGGTAAGAATTTACCTTTTTTCTTTTAATCTCTCCGTCTTACCGTTATTCTTCGCTCCCGAATCGCATAATCGTGGGAATACGCCGAACCGCGGCAGCCTGTGTAAAGTTTATACTATAAACACGCGACTTACCTTACGAGACGCTCTTTTCCGGGTTAAAAATCGGGAATACTTTCAATTTTTGATACTTTTAACCTTTCAACTATGCTCGACGTGTACACATGTTTATCTCAAGTTTTATTTCACTCTATACTGATCGTTTAGAATAAAACATTACTATTTGTTATAGAAAATCAAAATTTCAATAAGAAGTAATAAAATATTGCTTTTGATGATACGGTCCCATCATATTACCAATAAAATTGCTACAGTGGGTGTAGAAAGTATTCGTACACCGATCAATTTCCAAAAAAACTGTGTGAAATTGTAATTCATTAACTTATTTTTTATAAACAATGACATTCTACATATTCTCGGAAATCTCTAGAATGGATAGATTATAAAAAAAAATAGCTATTTATGTAAATTGCGAAATTAACAAGAAAAAAACAATTAATCAAGTATACGCACAACTGTTTAAAAGTACTTTACTGGTAACTTGATGTTTTCTGATTCGTAAAGAGCAATAAAGTAATGTGTTTACGTTACAAACTTTACTGTAAAGGGTTCGTCATAAGAATCGTACAAATGCTTATTGCTTCTATACTTTTGTCCACTTTTCGCATTTTTTTGTTAATTCCACAAATTATAATAACTAGTAAATGTTGTTTGGATTATATCTGTCTTAGAGACTTTCGAGAATATGTAAAATATCATTGATTATAAAAAAAGAAATTAAGAAACTACAATTTCACACAAAAGTTTTTTTGAAAATTGATCGGTGTACGAGTACATTCTACACCCACTGTATGCTCGACGTGTACGTATGTTTATCTCAAGTTTTATTTCAGTGTATACTGGTCGTTTAGAATAAAACATTACTATTTGTTATAGAAAATCAAAATTTCAATAAGAAGTAATAAAACATTGCATTTGATGATACGTTCCCATCATATTACCAATAAAATTGCTATGTACTAGGTGTAGAAATTAATTCTGTGCCTTCGTTGTTACACATTTATAAGAATGGAAAGATCGAGTAAATTTTACTCCTTGCATTACCGTTTGTTACTTCTTTACACTTTATTAAAGACTTATATATAAAATTTATTTTTATTTTGTACCATGTTGGTACCTTATTCCTTGATACTTTATGTACTAATGAAAAAAAAGGTAAAAAATTGGGTATTTTGAAAAGGAGTACAAATTACTCGATCTTTCCATTAAAAGACTAAACAGTGACCTTTCTATTCTAGGTTTAAGGAAGAAACTACACTAGAAGGCCCAGTAGTAAGTGTTCATTGGTATATCATTTTTTCAGAGAAGTATTTATATAAAGCTTTTCGTAACTTTGAGAATAGATACGTTTTAAAGTTTAAAAAAACGCTTAATATTCGCCCTACTATAGTGGCTGGTTTTTTTAAATAAAAATATTCACTTGACATTTTGTTTTGATAGTGTACCAACCTTTTAAGTCAATCTAATCTTCGTTATATTGAAGTTAAAATTTATATGAATTACCCGAGTTTCGATGCGGTGGACATTGCAATATATATATATATATATACAGTTAGGTAGCCAATAAATTTTCCTTATTACATTTAATTATTTATAACTCTAATTTAAATAGAAATATTTACTGCCTATTTTGGCACGTTAAAGTATCAGCCTTCGTAGTAGTGAAACATACGGATTGGTTTCGATTCTCGATATTTTGTTTCTATAACGATGTGTTATTTTAGAATGTGGGACGATTAAAAATTGTATGACTTCTCTTTGTAAATACATGTATTTTTAGTGTAGGTGGCCAGAAAATTAGTTTCTGCACCTAATATTTTATTAAAAAATGTTTGATTATTTTCTTTTGTTTGTCGAATACTTCCTTGGTACGACGCGACGTATGTATTGCTGTTTACAAATTCAGTTGATTATTTACTTTCAAAATAGTACATCAAAATCAACTGAATTTCTTGAAATTATTTTCAACCTTTCATTTTTCTTGTATACGTATTTTGAAACCACATTTTCAACGATAAATTGTTAATATTTTATAGAAAAAAATGTATTCCTTCTTCGTTTTCTTTTTCTGTGTTTATAAAATTTGTCCTAAATGTTCATGTGCCCTGCGTTCGACGTGAATACTCGCCATTGCTTGATTTTAATTACGCATCCCGCGAGGAACTTTCAAAACTAAATTCCGTAGTTAAAAGGTTAACACGTTAGTTGACAGTTTAAATTTATCTTTCACATTTCTCTTATAAGTGAAGACAAGTTTCATTTTATCTGTAGAAAACTGTGTAAGTAATCCAGAAAGTATGTATATTTGCCACATTTGCTGAATATTCAACAAAATTTGTACGAATGATTGCCGACAACAAATTAAAAATTGCATAGAACGCATTTACAGCCTACAGATTATACAGTTTAAAGATGATCTCATTAAATACTAAAATAGCAAGATAATTAATCTTTTTCTTGTGTTTATATGTTAAATTTGTAATTTTTCCACAAAATGTAATTTTTCCAGTTATTACACGTATATTTCTATCAATTTCTAAGTTTTTTTTTACAGTTTTACATAAGATGCAAGTAGCGTATATTTATTTATACACAATTTGTTATAAAGACTTGTTCCAATATTGTTTATTTAACAAAAATTGCACTACGAATACTTTCTACAGCCACTGTATGTTACGCAGGCTTATTGATTGGATTGTTATTACCACGAGGAGTGTTTCAAAGAAACCCTCTCCACGTTATTTCCAAGAATCGGAATTGTCGTTTCACGAGGTAAACCAAATTTCCAATTCTTGGAAACTGTCAACAAGTGTAACCTTTAAGAGCACGGATTTATACCTGCCGTTCCGTTCGCGCGTAGCTTCTCTGAAAAGAGGACACATTTCCAAAGATACTCTGCGAGCATCCAATTTAGAAGGATCGATTATTTCTATTGCTGGTAACGAGTATTTCTTCTTAACTCTCCAGTGAACGCGTTACAGAGTTGTATAGTTCCAGGTCAGTTCTTGAGGGGATAATCGTACCGCGATGAGACCTACCCAGAAATCCCACTTTTTCTTCTAATGAAATTTTCCTTTACGGTAGTAACATTCGTGTTATGTTCCTGTCTGAAAGTGTCTCTTAATAAGTATATCTGTAGATCGATTTGTTCGGAAATACGGTGTATTCGTACACCGATCAATTCCCCGAAAAACTTTTGTGCGAAATTGTAGTTTCTTAATTTCTTTTTTTATAATCAATGATATTTTACATATTCTCGGAAGTCTCTCAGATAGATATAATCCAAACAACATTTACTAGTTACTATAATTTGTGAAATTAACAAAAAAGTGCGAAAAGTGGACAAAAATATAGAAGCAATATGCATTTGTACGATTCTTATGACGAACCATTTCCAGTAGAGTTTGTAACGTAAACACATTAGTTTATTGCTCCGTACGAATTAGAAAACATCAAATTTCCAGTAAAGGACTTTTAAAAATGGCTCTAATAGAGGAATTCAAGAACATCCCACTTCGAATAACTAATAATTTAGTTAATTTAATGCTTAGAAGAGTTGCCATAATTATAAAATCAAAACGAAATGCCACGAGGGAAGTCTTATATACTTATAAATTAATGTAAATTTCTTTTTTTTTTAATGAGTTTTACATAGTTTTTTTGGAAATTGATCGGTGTACGAATACTTTCTCCACCCACTGTATTTTGGTAATGAAAGTATCATCGATCACCTAAGTAGCATCAACAGCAGTGTAAGAAATAAATATCTTTATTTATTTATGGTTAAATTTACTGTTGCTACTTCGATAAGTCACTGATAATGATTAAGAGTACTCTCATTAATGAATTTAAATTATTTTTTTAATTTTACGAATATCGTGCAATATTAACTATGCTCCAGTTTGAAGTTTCAATTAAATGTGTATTTGGATGTTCAATATAGTATTTGAAACATTAGCCATGGTTTATATTCCTAAATTAAAATAAAGGACTTTAGAAGAGGGACTGTAGTATTATATTTTTTGATAAAACATAAATGATATGGAAGATATTTAATTTTTAAATCCAATTTAAACATGACAGAACAAAAACGTGATTAATTTGTCAATATATATAATAAATGTAATAATACAGTCCTGCTAAGAATGAAGACTTTTTTGGAACCTAAGTTCAAAAGAAAATTATGGAACTTGATTAATATGATGGATTCTTTGACTCTCTCTTATAAGTTTAGGCCCTCCGTGTACATGGCGCAAAAAAGATCTATGCAATTTTTATTCGTAAGTGATTAAAATCACAGTTTAAATTTCAAACTATATTTTATGAAGAAATATATAATAAAACTTGTTGGCTCAAAATACCATCTTTGCCACCCTCGAATTACGTGAGGACGCCACCTTGGACTAGCGTTTATCATATACATATACATGTATATATTCTATACATGTACAATAAAAAATACTTGTTTGAAATTTATAAATAAAATCGTGATGATGGAATCATTGCTTGTTTTAAATACCTCACCTTGTATAATGCAGTGTAGAAAATAAAGATACATGTAACGACTCCAGCATCGCTATTTTATTTAAAAAAATGTAACCAAAAATTATTTGTGTATTATTCAATATATGTATAGTAAACCCCAGTAAACAGACCTTCTGTTGAGCCAATCGTT